TATAGGACGGTATGGGAATATATGGTGCACACAGGGTGTATATAGGACGGTATGGGAATATATGGTGCACACAGGGTGTATATAGGACGGTATGGGAATATATGGTGCACACAGGGTGTATATAGGACGGTATGGGAATATATGGTGCACACAGGGTGTATATAGGACGGTATGGGAATATATGGTGCACACAGGGTGTATATAGGACGGTATGGGAATATATGGTGCACACAGGGTGTATATAGGACGGTATGGGAATATATGGTGCACACAGGGTGTATATAGGACGGTATGGGAATATATGGTGCACACAGGGTGTATATAGGACGGTATGGGAATATATGGTGCACACAGGGTGTATATAGGACGGTATGGGAATATATGGTGCACACAGGGTGTATATAGGACGGTATGGGAATATATGGTGCACACAGGGTGTATATAGGACGGTATGGGAATATATGGTGCACACAGGGTGTATATAGGACGGTATGGGAATATATGGTGCACACAGGGTGTATATAGGACGGTATGGGAATATATGGTGCACACAGGGTGTATATAGGACGGTATGGGAATATATGGTGCACACAGGGTGTATATAGGACGGTATGGGAATATATGGTGCACACAGGGTGTATATAGGACGGTATGGGAATATATGGTGCACACAGGGTGTATATAGGACGGTATGGGAATATATGGTGCACACAGGGTGTATATAGGACGGTATGGGAATATATGGTGCACACAGGGTGTATATAGGACGGTATGGGAATATATGGTGCACACAGGGTGTATATAGGACGGTATGGGAATATATGGTGCACACAGGGTGTATATAGGACGGTATGGGAATATATGGTGCACACAGGGTGTATATAGGACGGTATGGGAATATATGGTGCACACAGGGTGTATATAGGACGGTATGGGAATATATGGTGCACACAGGGTGTATATAGGACGGTATGGGAATATATGGTGCACACAGGGTGTATATAGGACGGTATGGGAATATATGGTGCACACAGGGTGTATATAGGACGGTATGGGAATATATGGTGCACACAGGGTGTATATAGGACGGTATGGGAATATATGGTGCACACAGGGTGTATATAGGACGGTATGGGAATATATGGTGCACACAGGGTGTATATAGGACGGTATGGGAATATATGGTGCACACAGGGTGTATATAGGACGGTATGGGAATATATGGTGCACACAGGGTGTATATAGGACGGTATGGGAATATATGGTGCACACAGGGTGTATATAGGACGGTATGGGAATATATGGTGCACACAGGGTGTATATAGGACGGTATGGGAATATATGGTGCACACAGGGTGTATATAGGACGGTATGGGAATATATGGTGCACACAGGGTGTATATAGGACGGTATGGGAATATATGGTGCACACAGGGTGTATATAGGACGGTATGGGAATATATGGTGCACACAGGGTGTATATAGGACGGTATGGGAATATATGGTGCACACAGGGTGTATATAGGACGGTATGGGAATATATGGTGCACACAGGGTGTATATAGGACGGTATGGGAATATATGGTGCACACAGGGTGTATATAGGACGGTATGGGAATATATGGTGCACACAGGGTGTATATAGGACGGTATGGGAATATATGGTGCACACAGGGTGTATATAGGACGGTATGGGAATATATGGTGCACACAGGGTGTATATAGGACGGTATGGGAATATATGGTGCACACAGGGTGTATATAGGACGGTATGGGAATATATGGTGCACACAGGGTGTATATAGGACGGTATGGGAATATATGGTGCACACAGGGTGTATATAGGACGGTATGGGAATATATGGTGCACACAGGGTGTATATAGGACGGTATGGGAATATATGGTGCACACAGGGTGTATATAGGACGGTATGGGAATATATGGTGCACACAGGGTGTATATAGGACGGTATGGGAATATATGGTGCACACAGGGTGTATATAGGACGGTATGGGAATATATGGTGCACACAGGGTGTATATAGGACGGTATGGGAATATATGGTGCACACAGGGTGTATATAGGACGGTATGGGAATATATGGTGCACACAGGGTGTATATAGGACGGTATGGGAATATATGGTGCACACAGGGTGTATATAGGACGGTATGGGAATATATGGTGCACACAGGGTGTATATAGGACGGTATGGGAATATATGGTGCACACAGGGTGTATATAGGACGGTATGGGAATATATGGTGCACACAGGGTGTATATAGGACGGTATGGGAATATATGGTGCACACAGGGTGTATATAGGACGGTATGGGAATATATGGTGCACACAGGGTGTATATAGGACGGTATGGGAATATATGGTGCACACAGGGTGTATATAGGACGGTATGGGAATATATGGTGCACACAGGGTGTATATAGGACGGTATGGGAATATATGGTGCACACAGGGTGTATATAGGACGGTATGGGAATATATGGTGCACACAGGGTGTATATAGGACGGTATGGGAATATATGGTGCACACAGGGTGTATATAGGACGGTATGGGAATATATGGTGCACACAGGGTGTATATAGGACGGTATGGGAATATATGGTGCACACAGGGTGTATATAGGACGGTATGGGAATATATGGTGCACACAGGGTGTATATAGGACGGTATGGGAATATATGGTGCACACAGGGTGTATATAGGACGGTATGGGAATATATGGTGCACACAGGGTGTATATAGGACGGTATGGGAATATATGGTGCACACAGGGTGTATATAGGACGGTATGGGAATATATGGTGCACACAGGGTGTATATAGGACGGTATGGGAATATATGGTGCACACAGGGTGTATATAGGACGGTATGGGAATATATGGTGCACACAGGGTGTATATAGGACGGTATGGGAATATATGGTGCACACAGGGTGTATATAGGACGGTATGGGAATATATGGTGCACACAGGGTGTATATAGGACGGTATGGGAATATATGGTGCACACAGGGTGTATATAGGACGGTATGGGAATATATGGTGCACACAGGGTGTATATAGGACGGTATGGGAATATATGGTGCACACAGGGTGTATATAGGACGGTATGGGAATATATGGTGCACACAGGGTGTATATAGGACGGTATGGGAATATATGGTGCACACAGGGTGTATATAGGACGGTATGGGAATATATGGTGCACACAGGGTGTATATAGGACGGTATGGGAATATATGGTGCACACAGGGTGTATATAGGACGGTATGGGAATATATGGTGCACACAGGGTGTATATAGGACGGTATGGGAATATATGGTGCACACAGGGTGTATATAGGACGGTATGGGAATATATGGTGCACACAGGGTGTATATAGGACGGTATGGGAATATATGGTGCACACAGGGTGTATATAGGACGGTATGGGAATATATGGTGCACACAGGGTGTATATAGGACGGTATGGGAATATATGGTGCACACAGGGTGTATATAGGACGGTATGGGAATATATGGTGCACACAGGGTGTATATAGGACGGTATGGGAATATATGGTGCACACAGGGTGTATATAGGACGGTATGGGAATATATGGTGCACACAGGGTGTATATAGGACGGTATGGGAATATATGGTGCACACAGGGTGTATATAGGACGGTATGGGTATATATGGTGCACACAGGGTGTATATAGGTCGGTATGGGTATATATAGGACGGTATGGGTATATATGGTGCACACAGGGTGTATATAGGACGGTATGGGTATATATGGTGTACACAGGGTGTATATAGGACAGTATGGGTATATATGGTGCACACAGGGTGTATATAGGACAGTATGCGTATATATGGTGCACAGAGGGTGTATATAGGACGGTATGGGTATATATGGTGCACACAGGGTGTATATAGGACAGTATGAGTATATATGGTCACACAGGGTGTATATAGGACAGTATGGGTATATATGGTGCACACAGGGTGTATATAGGACAGTTTGAGTATATATGGTCACACAGGGTGTATATAGGATGGTATGGGTATATATGGTGTATACAGAACGGTATGGGTATATATGGTGCACACAGGGTGTATATAGGTCGTTATGGGTATATATAGGACGGTATGGATATATATGGTGCACACAGGGTGTATATAGGACGTTATGGGTATATAGATATATACACGGTGCACACAGGATGTACAGGATATGGAGCTCGGCCAGGAAGTGTGCGGTATGTACTATGCACAGGGCGGTATGTGGGCCGCTCAGGGGGTGTACGAGGCTATCTGGTTGGTCGAGCCGCTGAGGTAACCCGAGGCAACCAGATTCCCGATTGAGAGGCGAGCGCCCATTGGTTTCCTGGAGCGATCACAGTCGGGAGTGCCCGCTCACCGCCCCCTCACACATAGCCCGCTCAGGGGTCTCCGGGGTCCCGGGCTCTCTCGCCGCCATTTTACAGAGAACTCAGCGACGCCACCAGAACGTCCACGCAGAGGGCGGGGCCTGTCGACTACATCTCCCGGCATGCCCCGCAACCCGCGCAGGACCCCTGTCCTCATAGTAGGTGTCCCAGCCGCCTGATAACGGACTTTATGCACGTGTGAGGTGATTTTTCCCGCTTTTGCCTCATCTCCCTCCTCAGTAAACGTCAAACAACCTCATCTACAGCAAGGAAGGGCGGCTGCTCCGTGCCTCGGCCGCCACCACAATCGGTAACTTGTCAGGCGATCGTCAGACCGCCTATAGCCATGTTGACATGAGTGATTGGACAGGCGGTAGGGGGCGGTGTTCACCTCATCCGCTTTCTCATTGGTCACCGTCGCCCGTCCATCCGCGTCACGTGACGAAAACTCGGCAAGCCAAGGGGCGTGGAGGCGGATGACGCGCCAGAAGGAGGTGGTCAGCTGGGCGGAGCACGGGATGTCTATATAAAGGCGCGCACGACGTGAAGTCCCACACAGACTCTCTCGCTCTCCGCTGGACTGTAGTGTGTGCTGCGAGTGGGTGTGGTCGAAGGCGCGCATGCGCCCAGCTCGCGAGGGGAAGGTAGAGCAGCTATTGGTCTCCGGGGTGAGCAAGAAAAAAAAAGCTACTAAGGGGAGGAGGGGCAGCAACTTCTTTCACCACCTACCTCATGCATAATTTATCACTTCTCTTTACAGGCAACGCCCACTGACTGACTGCTCGTCTAAAGAAAGGAAGTGCCCTTTAAGAAGTGGGAGGGGCTTTTGAAATCCCACCTCTTTAGAAGCCTGACAGCTCAGGGGTTGGGCTCTGGAGGGGCCCCTGGCCAAGGATGTGGGATACGTAGCCACGGTTGCCCCACGTCTCCTTCACAGCCTCCCCTTGACGCACCCATGCAGGTCCTGTTAGAAATGGCGTCTTCCCCGGAGGCCTTGCAGCAGCCTGTCGAAACTGCCCCTAAAGATGGGGAAACTACTACCATGGCTCCGCCCGCTGTCCCTCCCCCGCAGCCAGACGTCAAACTCGCGAAGGAGGGCGCGGAGCCGCAGCTGCCGCCTCGCGTGCCGAAGAACGGCTTCCAGGGGAAGAGGAGGAACAGCTTCAACGTGGGCTTCAAGCACCCGCTGCCATTCAAGCGGCGGAGGCGGGTCAACTCGGACTGCGATCCCGTCCTGCCTTCCAACTTCCACCTCGGGGGCAACATCTTTGACCCGCTCAACCTCAACAGCTTGCTAGACGAGGATGTCAACCGGACCATCAACGCCGAGACCCCAAAGTCTTCGCCGCTTCCTCCTCGCAACCGCGACCCCGTGGAGATTTTGATCCCCAAGGACATTACCGACCCACTGAGCCTTAACACCGATGCCAGCGACGTGGAGCTCCTCCTCTCCCCGCTCAAGAGCGGTAGAAAAAGGCGCCGCCATCGGCATCACCCGTCCACGGACGTACCCACCAAGGGGACGGTGGGGCTGGTCGAAGAGGTCGAACCGACGCCTGAGGAGCTACGGCCATACGAACTCAACACTGCCATTAATTGCCGCGATGACGTCGTCCCTTTGCCCTCCCTGGACAACGAAGGACCCGATGGGGCGACGGCCAGCGGCACGTGTACGTCAGGCACGAGGCACCGCAAGAGGAGGAGGACATCCAGCAAGTCGGAAGGGAGGCAGGGGAGTCCCGAGAAAGGCAAGACTTTGGCCAGTGTGGTCACCACCGCCAAGCCTCAAGGCAGTATGGTGGTGGCCTCCAAGCTGCCCTGTTCTGGGCCCAAGGGCAAAGAGAAGAGCCGCTTCCAGTACGGGAATTACTGCCGGTACTACGGATACCGGAACCCTTGCCGGACGGACGATCCCCGCATGCGGGCTCTGAGGCCCGAGTGGTTCGGGGGCAAGACGGTGTTGGACATTGGCTGCAACGTTGGCCATCTGACCCTATGTGTGGCACAGCATCTGAGACCCTCGCTCATAGTGGGTCTGGACATTGACGGGTCGTTGATTCGAGCCGCCCGGCAGAACATAAGACATTATCTCTCGGAGTACGAGAAAGGCGGTGGTGGCAGCTACCCCGCGGCACTGGCTGCCATGCGGGGCCCCATCGCTGCTCCGGTTCTGCCAACTGAGGCAGGGAAGAGGAGCAAAGACGAGAACTGCGTCTTCCCGCACAACGTGACGTTCGTCAAGGTGAGACGGGGATGGGGGGGGGACGACATTTTCTGTATGGTCACATGACTTTTATGGGTCCAGATCCTGTTGTAGTGGTCCACCTAAACACATTACGGTGTTGGGTGGATGGTGGCAAGTTCAATCACCTGTGGGCTTATGGGACAAGACCTTCCCGGCTCTAACCTGCCGTGGAGGTCTTAGTCCCACCTCTGTTTCATGAAACGAGAGGAATGAGACTCGGCGACTCGAGAGTTGTGAACCTCATTGAGATCTCAAATGAGAGTCCTTCAGAGCTTTAAAGTGGACCTGTTGTCAGAACGCTATAAGAGGGCCATCACTAAGCAGCAGCGGGCCCCTGAAGGTGTCCTCAATTTGTCCTGGGGGGCCCCCTCATCTTGGGGTGCACTTGGCAAGCCAAAGCTGATCTTGTCCAGGCGTACCCGATGGGTTCTGCTGCCTTGTATGAGTTGGCTTAAGCCAGGGGGTAGCCAAACTCCGGCCCTCCAGCTGTGGTGGAACTACAAATCCCGTGAGGCATTGCAAGAGTCTCGCAGCCACGACTCCCGGAGAGAGATGCATCATGGGATTTGTAGTTTCACCACAGCTGGAGGGCCGGAATTTGGCTACCCCTGGCTTAAACAGTGTGTATGGCAACCGGTCCACTTTGAGAAGCCGCCATTGGATTCATACCTACATTGTCCTCCTGCCACCGACATCACATTTTTGGCAGGTCTTGCCTACAGCAGAACCTTTCCTTAGAGGAACGTGGGCGGTGCCATAGCGGACCTCCTTCTGAAACAGTGGCCCATCTACTATGCCGGCTCTCTGGGTTACGGTTCTGGAACCGGTATGATGATCGGGAAAGCCAGACTGAGGTTGGATCCTCTGCCCGTTGAAGTTCCGGCAACCCGAAGCACTGAGGCCAGAGTCGGCAGTGGTGGCCCCTATGGCTCTCTCGGGAAAGGTTCCCTTCAGGTTCATCATATAGGCCCCTGGACCACGCTCGGGCTGGACAAGGGGCCCAAAAAAAGTTCATTGGTGACCGTGGAGTCCCATCTACCTTCCTAAACCTACTGCACTGCACACTGTCAGGAAGCGGGATCCTGCTTCCCCTTTGTCATGTGACTTCCTGGTCACATGGCACTGAGCACATGGGGAAGCTGGTCCTGAACTGTGCAGGGGGGGGGACTTTTAATGAGTAGCGCTAAGCAGTGTAAAGGATGACCAATGGAACCAGGAGGAGAAATACAACAGGAAGTAAGAGGAGAGCGCGGGGGAAATCCTCCTCTTTGTGGGACGGGAGTCCCCACTGGAAGATTTCCACTCTAGTCACGTCCTGGTGACAACTCTGATTTGCCGTCACTTCCTGTACTAGTGACAACGGTCACCAGGACTCATAGGGGGGCAGAGTGAATCTTCCCAGCGGGGACAGAGACGGCGACATTAATCTGACACAACAAGGGGGGCCACAGGCGGGGAGGAAGTCCAAATCAACTCTCATTGTTCATAATCTGACCTCCAGGAAGGGCCGGCGATGTGCGAGGGTCAGACACGGGGAGAGATCGGCGGCGTGTACCCCAGGAGCCAGCGCACCCCCACATATAACA